CAATTACATGGGCAAGATAATGAGTACATTTCTTATCAAGCATTGTAGCCTCCTCCTTTGTTTCCCCTTCCCATCCCTTCCCATCCTCCCCCTGCCCCAACACATTCAATTTTTAAAAAATAATGTTTCATGCCTGTACTGGTGGCTCATGCCTGTAATCCTAGCTATTCAGGAGGCTGAGATCTAAGCATCATAGTTCAAAGTCAGTCTAGGCAGGAAAGTCTGTGAGACCTCTCATCTCCAATTAACTACTAAAAAGCTGGAAATTGCACTGTGGTTCAGAGCAGTAAAGCACTAGCCCTGAGCACAAAGGCTCAGGGACAGACCCTGAGTTCAAGTCCCAGAACTGGCACTAAAAAAGATAAAAAGTCTTATTCATGTAATGTTCACCACAGCTTTATGATATTCATCTTAGAGTAGAACAAACTGATACAGACAGATGAAATGATTCTCTGAGGTTGTCTAATAGTGGGTAGTAGAGCTAGAGTTTTTTTGTGTGTATGTTCTTTTTTCATATTTATTAAAAGCTTTTTTTTTTTTTTTTACATAGGGTCTCACTATAGTTCAGGCTTTCTCAAACTCCAGATACTCCTGCCTTTGCCTCCTAACTGCTGAGATTACATTGTGGTCTACATTGCTCAGCTAGAGCTGTGTGTGTGTGTGTGTGTGTGTGTGTGTGTGTGTGTGTGTGTGTGTGTGTGTGTGTATGCGTGCACGCATGCATGCATATGCACACACCAGTAACAGGGCTTGAATTCAGAGTCTGGGTGCTGTCCATTTTTTTTTTTTTTTTGCTCAAGCATGGCACTTTACCACCTGAGCCACAACTCCACTTGGGACTTCTTGCTAGGTTAATTAGAAATCAGTGTCTCATGAACTTTCTTGTCCAGGCTGGCTTCAAATTTCCATTCTCAGATCTCAGACTCCTGAATAACTAGGCTTATAGGCATGATCCTTAACCATAATTCTCTACTGGATTTGAATGGATTTTCCAGTTTGGGTCAGAAGAACAGAAAAGGATTCAGGAGCCAATGATTAGGGGTAGGAACTTGAAGATTCCATGTAATCTAGAAAATGTTCTGTTTCCTCTTCCAGTACAATCAAAAGAGACACCTTTACTGCTAAGCTCTTTGATATCTACAAGCAAGTCCTGAAAGAAGGCATTGCACAGGTAACCATTCTTGGCCCTTCTGCTATCTGGATCCTGCCCTTCTCCTCTCTGATGTTTTGAATTGATCTTAACCTCAATCTCCTGGTAATCTGCCTCTCACTGGTTCCCATTGTCATTGGGAGTGTTAGCTGGTGCTTTTCCTCTAGCATGGAGTTTGTGTATTTCTCTGCTGTGTGGCTAGACCCTCAGAGTCAGCCCCAGGGCAGATGTCCTCAGCCTTCAGTTTCGTCCACAGACTGTGTTCCTGGGCCTGAACCGCTCAGACTACATGTTCCAGAGTAATGCAGATGGCTCCCCAGCCCTGAAACAGATTGAAATCAACACTATTTCTGCCAGCTTTGGGGGCCTTGCATCTCGGACTCCAGATGTGCACCGGTGGGTTTCTTGGGCAGCTGTGGACACAGCCTTAAGAACCTACTAAGCCAGGGATCACTGATCATGGATTACTGAGTCAGGGATCTCCCAGTTAGGACTGGGCCTGCCTGGGTCCTGGGTCATGTGTCCATCCCTTTCCCCCTTCATCCTTACATTCTCCCAATATGTTCCTTGCAATAGTTTACATTTGTAATTAGATTTTTAATATGTCAGGGAGAGATGAGACTTCATGGCTTATTTAGTCCTGCTTCTTCATTACATAAGTTAGTGTTCCAGGTAGAGGAACAATAGATTCTAGTACGTTCCAGAGACCTGTGGCGAGAAAGACCTTGACAGTTGGCAGGGATCTAGCTCACATGAAGGCTGGACTGGGGGACACAAGGCCTCAGGTTCCTCTGGGCATATACATCGGGGAATCACTGTGAGTTCACTCCAGCCTGTTCTAACTAAAGTAGATCCTGCGGGAATGTGATGGTAAAGACGCTTTTAAGTATGTGATTGATTTGCAGAGTCATATTCCCTATGTGCCTGTGAAGTCATAGGCAGAGGGGTCTTCTAGTCCATCCAGTTACTGAATAGCCATCTCTGTTCCAACAGACATGTTCTCAATGTCCTGAATAAGACCACAGAAGCTACCAAGATCCTCTCCAATAATCCCAGGAGGGGACTGGCCCTGGGGATCGCCAAAGCCTGGGAGCTCTATGGGTCAGCCAAGTAAGTATGGGGGAAGAAAAATGGCAGCAGTATCCTGACTTAGATTCAGCATTCATTGGGGCAGCAGATTTTTCTTTGTTAGATATCATTAATAAAGGGATTTTTCTGGGAACAAAAACTTAAAACTCTCAAGTGCCAATATGATTTTAATGGCATTTTGGACTTCCTTAAATAAGGGATTCTGAGTACAACTTAACCTTACCTTATTGGCTGGAAGTCATCATTGTGACTGTCAGCAATTGTGTCTTGCTATATTGCAGAGATGCCACCTAGGATCAGAAAGGCTTAGGGGGCTTTTTGCCTGCACCAGTGGCCTTTAGTGCTGAACTAGATGAATTCTCATCTAACTTCCTGATTATTAGTTCTGACTATTTACTACCATTAGTGGGCTTGAATGTGGAATCCTTCCCTCCTCTTCTAGTATTTTCTTTTCTGATTGGCTGTTGTTTAGAAAAAAAAAAACGGAGGGCTGGGAAGGTGGCTCAGTGGTAGAGCGCTTGCCTTGCATGCCTGAGGCCCTGGGTTCGATTCCTCAGCACCACATAAGCAAAAAAAAAAA